ACAAATTGTGCTAAATTTACATAAGTTTGTCAGTAATTAAGTTTTGATTGGATCACCAAACCGTTAAAATGAAAAACAAAATAATGATGGTTTGAGAAAAGCACATTTTCTGAAAGCGCTAAGAAATATTAACTGGGCAGGTGCTATAATCTCAAACGCTTTCAGGCACATTTACGTAAAGAGGTTATTATATTTCGACGTTGGCTTCCTAACGACCTCTGGAAGACCGTCCAACGAATTTTGAGAGCAGCGTCACGACTTCTTCCTCTGCTATTCGTTGGCGCCTCTTGGATGGGATAGGTCGCAGTTCTATAGTCTGCGGCTCAGTAACAAAGACCAAGAGTGTGGGAGTATGTGACTTTCAGAGGCGAACAGGGAGTCAGAACCGAGGGGAGTCAGTTGATGAATTAAAAAAATATTGCAGGCAGAATAATGAAGGAGATTGGAATTATCTCGATTGGAAAATTATTTTCAACTATTACTAGAAATAAGTATTTTTGATTACTAAATGAAAAGTGGAACCTACGTAAATTAATCGCAATGCAAAATCGCTGATATGTTAACAATTATGAAATCATTCATAACATAAATTAACAATACTTATTTACTGTAGTAATCTACATTTCATTAGATCTTATTTTTACTTTTTAATAAAGGCTTTGCCGATGAAATAAAGTGAATAATAACAAATGACTTACACAAAAAAGTTCAATATAACACACTTGTAATTAAAGAATATATTTTCAACTTAATTAATACATTTTTAACGATACTTGGAATAGGTGTGATGTAAAAAAGTGACTTGAAATGACAGAAAACCAATAAACAAACATAAGTATTTATACAAAGACCATTACTTCCGGATATGTCATACATCTGCGAGAATATTAGTACTAATAGTATACTATCCCTCAAATTGAAATTGAAATTTCTCTGCTTAATGCGGTGCAAAATATTTGTTTCTTGATACGCAGACTTAATTGTTTTTGTTATCGCCTACCGGCGAGTATGTATTGTTAGTTCTTTGCCAGCACGTCTAGAGGATGGAGTTGCATGTGTAGGCGTTGTGAGAGAGAACAGAATAGAGAAGTTGTGATCAGAAGGAGGTCTTGAGGAAAGAGGAGTTGGCAACGTGAGAAGGAAGATGGTGAGAGCGAGACCGTGGGGTGGGAGAGGAACATGAGCGTAAGTAACGACGAAAGCGGAGTCGTGGTTTATGACAGGAGAATGAATACGTGGAAGGATTGGAAGAAGATCAAATGGAGGTGCGACTTGGCCAAAAGGACAGAGATAGGAATTTGAACTGGTGAGAAGAGGGGTTTAAGATGGAGGTGGGGCGAGGAACAACGAACAGGAAAGCGCCTTAGGAACTTAGCCTCACTGCGTTTGAGCGCGAACCAGCAACGGACATTTAGATGATGTAATTGGAGCCCGTCGAGACTGATTTCAATAGAACATTACGCTGTCAACCTCGCGACACGCCCTTTAAATGAGCACTTTATAGTGAGGGTGATGACGCGAAATGACATGCAAAGGGGAAATGTAGAGCAGGTAAAAGGAGAGTGAGAGAGACAGAGATGCATGAGAAAACACGACGCTTTTAGAATTGAATGCCGTGGGATGGCTTTTATTGATTCTCAGTGAACAATACGGACTTTTGATTCTTGTTGATCGAAAATTCAGATAAATGATTGTGAGGTTGTCAAATAGTGTCACTGAGTGCCAATAGGAGAAAAAACAGAATTTGAAAATTGTCAAACCTTGTTCATTGTCAGAAAACTGCTTTTCATGAGTAGTGAAGTAAATAAGAGAAATTTTGTTCACCTTTCCGAATAATAATAATAATAATAATAATAATAATAATAATAATAATAATAATAATAATAATATTAAATAATAAAACCATTTCGGTACTGCCAAATGCACTGCGTTTCATGGATGCCTTCCAAACCAGAAACCTCGAAGCCTCGCGCCGCGCTGCGCCATCACGTGACGCCACCGGGAGCCCAGGGGAAGAGGCGCCAAGCGGGGGTTTGGGGTTTGGCGCGGCGCTGTTTCTCCACGTGAAAAGCGGCCATTACGCCCTCGCGTTCGCCCATTACCCTTCCGCCTCAACACTTGCTCGGTAATCGCGGGCTGCCAGCGCCGCCCGTCAAACAGCGCGGGGCAACCAGCGCTCCCGCACACGCCATTCATCACGCACGCACGCACGCGCCACTCGTTACGTGGCAATGCGAACGTCCTTGAGCTGCTGAGAACGTCTCTTTGACCGCGCTCGTTTTGAGGATTTTAAATAGGCTGCTTCGTCGACGAAATTGCACGAGAGATAATGGATATATTTACACGAGTGTCAGTAAGAGAGGATAGATATTTTTAAAATAAAATACCCCTAGAGTATCTCTTTAGTCATAGAATTACACGTGTACATTGGGGCACCTCACACTTATGATGTTGGGTCGTTGATGGTGCATCTTTCTTGCTACATTGAACTATTTCAGAATGACTCTTCTGTAGGTTTCGTTATTAATGTGTTAGCTAGTTAATTCGACATCAAGAGATAATGTATATTTTTACACATTTACTATTTCAATCAAGGAAGAGAGGAATGTAACAAATATTTTGTTGCTCAATAACGGTTGTAACCAAAAACGTTCAAGGAAGTGAACCATGGCTACTTTTTATTTATTTTTTTCCTTTCGCTTTCACGGTTCCTGTAACATCCTCTCAGATTATTTCCACGTTGCAATTTCATCATCTCTCGTTTTTCTCCTAGCTTCTATACGTATCTCACAATACGAATAGCATTTAGGTTTGGAGAAGAACACACAATAAAAAATGATCACACCTGGCAACAATTATTGGAACTTATCGTTTTTCAGGGAGACAATATTCCAGGCTTTCCAGATTCCTTTTCTTGGAACTTCCCATTTTATTACTATTTTTCCTTCCCTCGCCATGCTTATTAGGTAAAGAGTATTGTAATGCTGTAGTAAAAATTAGCAATTTTCTATAGAAAAATCTTTAATGTAGAACTCTGATATCGAGTAAGTGAATAGAGCTTGCTCATATGGGTAGTAAATTACTTCTTCAAAACGTTAGGTAGAAAAAATCCACGTTTTGTGGGCCTTTGATACCGAAACAATGATTGATGGCAAAACGTCTGTGGGTAGTCTGCCTGTAGTCAACGCTAGCGCATAAACCGTTTGCACGCTATTATCTGAAACTGATTTTCCCGTTCGACCTGAAAGAACTCGAGATCCTGCGAGCTTGCAAAAGTTGGAAATACTGCGAGAAAGTGCAGCAGAACCACTGGTTCCAGTTCCCATTCTCCCTCCTCTCCTCCTCCTCCTGTTGGATCTTCGGGTCTCCGTTTGCCTCTCCTCGCCGGCCGCGGCGGCGCTGGAGCAGCCAAACAGTTTCTTACGCCGCGCCGGCCGATTCTGGCGCCAGCGAATTAATGAGGCGGCCTTAACGCCGTTCTAAGTGTGATTGATCACCCGCGTGCCTGCGCCCGCGCCCCCCCTCTCCCACCCATCACCCGGGCGTATTGCGCTGAAGTTTATCAGAAAGGGACAGCGCGCCCGCGGAGGAGATGGGTCATCAGCGCCAACTTCCCGACAGGAGAGGGAAAAATGAAACGCGCCCTTTCGCGTTCCTTTCCCGCGCCGTCCCCTGTCAGACGCCGCTGCCACGTCTCGCCTCGCTTGAACTCGCCCTCTCACTCACACCCTTCCTACCCTCTCCAGCCCTCATTCTCAATCTTTCTGACCCCGTTTCTCCTTGCCACTCCCCTATTCTACTTCACTCCTCTCCTGTCCTCCCTAACATTCCTCTTTCCTTCTGTTCTCTCCTCTACCTCCCTTCCTCACAACTCTATTGCTCTCCTCTTCCTCACTCATTTTCTCTTGTCTCCAGTCATCTCCTCTCCTTCCCCCACGCATTTCCTCCACTCACTCCTCTCTTCTCTTCTCTTCATCACAACCCCACTCCTCTCCGCCCTATTACTAATTTTCTCTCCGCAACACATCATCTTCCCTCCTCCCCAATTATCTCCTCCCTAACACTTGTCACCTCCTCACTACCCCATTTCCTATCTTCCTCATCTCCTCTCTCTTCCCCGACACACTTCTGCAGGCGGAGCAGCCTCCACGCCGCCCTCTCCCTCCCACTCCGGCCCCCGTCCACATCACCACCGGCCTCCACCGCCACCACCGTTTCGTTGTTTGTCCCCTCGAAAGGGGGCGGCGGTGACGACGGGGGCGTCTTGTAGCAATCCATCTTGCAGAAGAGGCGGCTCCTCGAGGGGCGGGCGCAGTCATGTCGACACTGCGTAACACGCGGGGCCGCCTTCGCGGGCTGACAAATATTGGGGCGGCTGAGGCGCGCGCCCCCGCGCCGGTCCAGGACAACAGCGACGTCAACGGACGTTTTCGACGCGGACTGTTCCCTTTTAGGAATTATGATTATTATTGCGTGCTGTCAAGTAGGTTCATTCTTTATTACAGCTGTTGCTGGTAACTAATTACTATTTTATGGTATATTTAAAGGAAACAAAATGTTATTGCAAGAAATGAACATGCAATTCATAAAACTTCACTTAAAGTCCCCCCTCCAACACGCTTGATTTCCATTAGTAAGCATATATCTATGTTGCTACGTTTCAAACTACTTTCATCAACACGCGTTATAATCAATATAAATTTTCAATTCTCTGAATTTAGAGATACGCAATATCAATTACCGAATAATGAGACCAATTTCATTTAATTTCAGTTTATGAGATTTGATATTTAAAAGAAATACTTCCCATCATTGTCAAAAATAATTAATTCAATAACCTCAAAATAACCTTCAACAATAATAACTAGCACTCAACTGAAAATAACTTTTTTCTACTGGCAATGCCTTGTGACACGGTGTGAAAAGCAAACAGTAAAGCTGCAAAGCAGAGCCGCAACGCAAGGGAAGGGAACGGCGTGGAGCGTGGAGTGTGCGACTGACCTTTGACGGCGTTCAGCTTGTTGCCGACCATCTGCTTCGCGACGAAGGCCGCCATCTCGGCTGCTGGTCAGGGGTCGCCTGCCTGGGGGAGCGAAGGCCGCTGCGCGTCGGAGAGGCTGAGAGCTGACTTCCTCGGGTCACAGGAGGGCTACGACCTGCAGCACACCACAACGCTCCGCGTCACACGCGCGCCGCCGGACATTGGGATGGATGCTAAGCAACTAGGCGTTCGCACGGGATTAAGCATTTGAGCTTAATTCCGTACCGGATTAAGCATTCTAGATAGCTTATAGGTAACGTATTATATTAACGCATCCACAGGCAGTTATGAACATTTCAAAAATACAGTAATTAGCCCATGTTTTGAAATCCCTTATAGCCTTATGTTGCGTTCATTAAATCGGCTGAAAATCTACATTACTAGTTTCTAATTGCGCTGTAATTTTAAAGAAATATACAGCCTATGGTCTTATCCTGAAAGAATACCGAGTTTCCTGAAATCCTGAAAGAACATTGAGTTTCAACTTTGACAGAAAATGCAAATATTTGATTTGAGATGTGATATACTCAACACATTGGCGAAACCAAAAATGTGCGTTTAATTATCTAATATGTACTACTTATATCAATTTGTTACTTATTCATCACTTAATTACGTCTTTACAGTTGGAATTTGTATGTTGGAAGATTTCCTGAGAAACTTACATTTAATTAAAATTACAATTATTTTTTTCATTATTATTTTTATTTTTCACTAATAACATTTTAATTTCATTTTTTTATCAGTTGCCTTCTAATTATTGCAGATCTCAATCAATACAAATCAGTAACTTATTAAAGTCCAATGTTAATGATACCCGCGAGTCATGATAAACATACAGAGTAATTTGACATGCACAAATAGGATGAGAGAATCACGAGAAATCAAATATGTCGAACGCACGTATAACTTCTCTTGCGTGATTGGCGAGGACAGGAACATGTGAAATTGATAAGGCTTTGCCCAATCAAATTTTGCTCTATGTTAAACGTACATAACTAATGGCACCAGTGGTATTCCATGCGTTCTGTATCCAAGACCGGAATGATGATCAAATACGTAGCCGGAACGCAAATGCTCACAACCGCATTACGTCGTTCCTAATATACTGAAAGCAAACACTGTGCTCCATATCTGTCACGAAGCTGAATGCGTGCAGCAACTCACGTAAATCACTATTTTTGAAATTATATTTACTTAACCCCAAAAGGTTTTGTACACCCTTACGCAACAATGACGCAAATGTGAAAACGAACAGAGCCTTATGTAACCATGTTATGAAAAACAAACGGGATTCAAGAGAATTGAATTTATAGCTTATTGCATTTTCGAACGGTTAAAATTTAATATAGAATTCTTTTAACGCTCTATAAAATCCTTCTACATTAGATTCGGAGTTTGTGAAACAAGAGAAAATTATATAAAGTGTTTTGATCCGAAAGCAAGCCAGTAAACAAATGAGATTGTAAATTAAATGTGACAGAATTTTCCGTCGAAGTAATATTCACCCAGAGATCATTTCGAACTCATATTGACATGGTCTGTATTTTTTATGTAAAACTACATTTATAAGTTATGCTTCTTACTTATAAAACGTTAAATAGCTTCAAAAAGATCATTCTAATATAAAGAAATTGGACTGAAATTCCATAAATATTACTAACAATTTTATGATTTAGTTTTTGTAAAAATAATCCGTATTTAGAAGTGCAGTGGCTCGTATGAGATGACAGTATTACAACGTATTTTTTCTTAAACACATTTTATTAATATTCCTAATATGAAGCCAATTTCTAAACAAAACATATTTTCACATTGTGATATATCCCAATGCAATGGCTACAACACACTCCAAACATTTCTTTAGTAAAAGTACCTTCGCACCAATAGTTAACTATGTGAACTCATTTTCTTATCTTTAATGATCTCCCGACGATGCCCGTTTATACTGCACAGCACTCTTCTTGTTGGGTGTTTCAACGGTTACAATACTATTACACTAAATGAAGCCTAAGAACATAAAATGTGCGGGAAATGTTTGGTGTGATCTCTATTCTTCCACATTATTTTAAACACTCAAAACAAAACCTTTACCAATGCAACCTGTTATACTTATTAATATCGTGAAAAATACAAAACCTGTGCATCTAAGCACTTAATATTGGGTTTTCGAAGCCCAGGGAGTCTGATTTACATATATTAACATTTTTGGGTGTTTTTATTCATGTTTTTGGAACTCCACTTTTCAGGCTACACTACCTACAAATTTGTATTACCAGGTAAGTAACTGTACTTTCATTTACCAGAGAAGTAACTGTACTATCCGCTGTTGTAAGGTTTTCACACTTAGTCATAAAAAACGACTTCAATGTACGGATTTTTAGAAAACCATGTGGGAGAAACAAGCAGGTTGCATGTGAAAAACGTGAGAGAAGTTATAGAAGACGTGTTCGGAACACGCTGGAGAAAGTGTTATGCTTCATAAGCTGTAGACTATATTATAAAATTAGACCTTTTTGAACCTTCCATTGCATTTTTGGCATTTTCAGCTCTTCTTGTCATCCGAACTTTTCAGAAGGTGAGAAACGTGAAGCTCGAGATTTATGTAAAATTACGTTCATTAATAAAAGCTTACCTAAATTCCTATTAAGTTTTCTAATGGTCAGTACCGGCTCAGAAATGCGGTAACAATTATTTTAGAGGCAGACTATGCGTTAGTGAGCTCTACTACGAAAATATGTAAATTTTGAAAAAAATAACTTACAAAGAACGTATGTTTTCACGTTTGCATGGACTGTTGTACTTGCTATGTTTATAGAAGCAAATAAAATATACACAACATACCATCTTTGAAAATAAAATGATAATGTTATTTGTTAATGTTTTCATTCAATATTTTTGTCGTTGAGAAAATTACTTAGTTGTGTGAGTTTGGACCTAGAACTGACAACCAATTTTTCACTCATATTTGCAGAGTTTATTTACAAACTTGAACATTAATTAATATTTACTGTCATTTTGAAGCAATTGATTTAAACTGCACCAAACAATTCGAATATTTAATGCAATTCCCTGCTGTGTGACCGATAAGTAAAGACACAAAAATATTTGAAGCATTAGATTTCGTGGCAATAGCCTTTAGACGACTGAGTGAAGGGCATGCATTCTCGGAAGTGGTATAACACTTTCTTCTTCCTTTGTGTCCCAGAGTAAAGTACTCTCAAAGATTTTGCACAAAAAGCGGAATGTTCTACGAAGGAATAATTATTCAACTTCTTTTCGATCCAAGTTTTTATGCTCTGACCTTACATTCAAGGAGCTCTCGTTTCCCCTTTATTAATTTTCCTTCCCAAACTTTCTAATTTGTGTGAAATTTGTTGAAAACAAAATTGAATGAAATGAACGGGGTTTCTTCGTTCTTCCAAAATAATAAGAGGCCAACTTATTACTTGAGATAAACGCGGCGTCCTGCGCTAGTTGGCAGATTGCCCAATAAGAAGGAAGGTTTTCATAAACTTTCTGTACCCCTTGAAAGCAGTGTAAACAAATAAAATTTCTTGGTACTCTTATAATTAATAAATCAACAAATATTCAATTATCAATTAAGAAACATGCTTGACATATGCTCGTTACACCCTTTAGTATTACCGAGTGTCCCCGAGGAAACTGTAGAAGAATGAGAGGAGCAAGATTAAAAAAAGGAAATTATTGATTGGTTGTTTGATTAATTGGTTTTTTGGCACGTCAACTCCAATCACCATTAGCCCTATCAGTGTAGACAGTGTGTTACCTCAGGAGATGACGAGGCGGTGAGATTCTAAGTGCCGATATACACTTCGGCTTGGGGAGATTTTCCCTCTTAAAAGATAATCTATAACCTCTCGACCGGTCTCCCCACTAGTCCGCCAAGAGGTAGAGTAGTACACTAGTACTTAAGTGTGTGTGTGGGGGGGGGGAGGAATGAGTAAGAGGAACAGGTCTACCTAAAACTGCCGAAGCTATTGAAATTTTGAGATAGCGGCTGAATTCGATCAACCAAATCCAGTGTCGATAATCGGGATTCGAATTTAGTCCCTCCCAGTTAGAGTCGCTGGAGAAACAGCGCAATGATGGCTATTAGCTAAACTCAGGTAGGTAGAAAACAAGAGAGACAGGAATGGGGATAAGAAGATAAGAAAGCTGTGTTGAGAAAAAGAAAAAAAGAAAAGAAAACAACGAGATTTTAATTCTCCCAATGCTGTGTGTTCTGTATTTACTTAACGGAATCATTTATTTTCTTTTGCTTTTCTTTATACCCTCTTATGAAGCCCTGGTATTACGAGATCCCGATAGTTAGTGTAATAATTATTCGAATTCCTGACAACACAAACTATTCTAGACAAACAAATAAAATGAAACTGTTACTACAGTTTATGCCTAAACTAGTTCGCAACAAAAATTAAAATTTATACGATAATCATTGCATAAATGCAACATTCGTATAATGCAATAATAAAATTCTGATTTATCGCACATTCCTAATTATTTTTGTATTGATCAGTACAATCCGGTTAATGCGTTCTATTACATCTCTCTATTTTGGTTTAATTAACACGAAGAAAGGCAGTGTTTACATTGATTAATCATTATGTTGCTAGGTCAAGCCATGAGCGCAATACAAAATCAATACTACACAGAAACCGATCATGAACTTCCCTCTGATGAATGAAACCATAAAAGTACATATGTAAGTCATGTGCTTACTTATGGCTACTTAACGGAATTGTGAAACGCAGGAACTGCCATTTTTCAACGCACATAGTATACAGTAGTCAAGAAAATTATAATAAATTTAATATGTTAGAGAAATAAATTTATTCCTATATCAAATTCATACATTTACTAAAAGAATGAAAGTCAAACTTGATAATAGTTGTCATAGCTGCTCATACTTTATATGTATTGTGACGTACCTGGGAAGCGGTACTTTTCACGACAATTAATTTTAAGGGGACAGGTGTTTTTCTCGTGAATGGGCCTCAAGGGTTTTTGCATAACATGGAAAGATAATTCCGTTATAGATTTTTAAACAACTAAACGTTTTATTGGTCGTGTAATACACATTAAAAACAATAA